GAGATGATTGTCTCCACTTGACAGATGGGATGACTGAGGCCCTGAAAGGGGCAGGGACTGATGATGGGCAGCCCTGTGCTGGGCCTCCTGGACCACATGATGTCCTTCGCCAGGGGTATTGATTGACTGGAGGGAGCCCTGTGCTCCTGGGTAGGACATCTGACTGTGGGAGACTATTGCTGTTCCCTCCATCAGCTCCTGAGCTCTCACTGGTGTCCACTGCCTGCCCAGCGTCACTCATTCTCAGAAATCCAGCCCCAGAGAATTAATCGGCCCGGGCAGGGCTTTGGCAGCCCAACCAGTTCTTGGTGACGGACGGAGGAAATTGCTGCTTCACCACGCATGTGTATGACTACTGCTGCCAACTCTTGCAGTCTCTTGCTGCCTTCAGCGTTACAGCTCTCTGTCTTCTGGCTCTAAGAGGTTCTCAGTGCAGGGACCCCCAGGACCAAAGGATGCACTCCACTCCCAGCTCTTCTTGATGGTAGTGAGGTGCCCCTCAACCTCTGTGGGATTGGCTCTTTTAAGCCTAGCGGGCTGGCAAAACTGATCAATCCCCTTGGTAGGCCACGAGCACCTTATTTGCATAATTGCTGTCCAATTCCTGCAAGAGTTTTATATACCTTATTTGCATAGTCCCAGACAATCATTTTGTGGGAGTTGAGACCGTGGCTAGAAAGGCCATATAAAAGCAATTCACTGCACCACAATGATTCTTCCCGGCCCAGAAAAGCAAGGGCTTTCTGCCCTTATACGCACCTGCCTCCTACCCACCTGCTCTCCTGCCTTCCATGAGCGTTCACTGGTGCCGACTATGTACCAGGCACTGAGCCAGCCCAGGGCACCTGCCCAGAAGCTAGAGGCTGTTTTGATACAGGAGGAAGGTGAGGCAAGAAATGGCGCTGACTGCCCAGATACGCCACAAGGCAGACCCCACCTAAGGATTTTTGCAGACACCTGCCCTGTGCTGGGCCCTGGCTGGGTCTGGAGAACTTGAAACCAAGAAGCCACCATCCAGCTCCCAAGGCCTGGGGATGCCGAATGTAACTTGTGATGGGGCTTGCCGACCACAGAGCTCTGCAGAAGTGTTTATAATATAGAACTCCAGAAGAGGGAGCCTACCTAGGAAGTCCAGAAAGGCATCCCGGAGGAGGTGTTCCCCAGCTGGGCCTTGAGGCATGAGTGTGAGTTTGCTGGATTGAGATGGGGAGGAGCATTCCAAGCAGAGGTATTGGAGAATGTGGAAGGCATGAACATGGACTACTCAGAGAACAGTGGGGACTTCTGGGAGAGGGAAGCCCCCGGGGGGCAGGGAGCAGAAAGGATGGGGCTGGAGCAGTGGGTTGGAGGCAGATGGTGAAGGGCCATAAGGTAAGGTCAGAGGGTCTGGACTTCGTCCTGAAGAGTGGCATGGTCAGGTCTGTGTTTCAGAAAGACCCCACTGGCTGCCTGTGCCCGTGAATTGGAGAGAAGGGCAGAAACAGAGAGGCCATGGAGAAGTCCATCCCCACAGTCCAGGAGGGAGGTGATGAGGCCAAAACAGGGGCTTAGAGAGAGAATGGAGGTAAGAGGGTGGCTACCTCTACGGAGGCCACTTAACATCACAGTTAAGTGCACGTGCTCTGAGGCCAGAGTCCTGGGTTCAGATCCAGGCCACTCCACTTCCGTGCTGTGGGAACTTGGGCAACTTACTGAACTTCTTTGTGCGTGCATCCTTACCTGAAAATGAGGATGTCAGCGATACCTGCCGCATGTGGGACCCTGGGTGGTACAAACCGTTTGCGCTCACCTAACCTAAAGTTTGGCAGTTTGAACCCACCCAGTGACACCATGGAAGAAAGCCCTGACGATCTGCTACCGTAAAGATTACAGCCAAGGAAACCCTATGGAGCAGTTCTCCTCTGACACCCATGAAATCACCACGGTTGGAACTGACTCAACAGGAATGAGTTTGGTTTTTTTGCTTCATATGAGGAATGCAGCTTTCAATGGTGGTCTCACTATGCAAGCTGGGTGTTGGGGGGCGGGACAATGAAGGGTTCAGTTTGAGACATCTGGAGTTGGAGTTTGAGGTGCTTATGGGAAAGATCTGAGGGAAATGCCCAAGTCTGGAATTCTGGGGCCCTGGTGGTACAGTGGTTAAGCGCTTGGTTGCTAACTGAAAGGTCAGTGCTTTGAACCCACTAGCCGCACCACAGGAGAAAAGACCTGGTGGTCTGCTCCCGTAAACATTACAGCCCAGGAAACCCTACGGGGCAGGTCTACTCTGTTATATAGGGCTGCTATGGGTCAGAATCAACTCAATGGCACACAGCAACAACAGTGAGTTCTGCGGATAGGTTGAGGCTAGAGCACAGACCCAGATGTCACACAGACTTGGATATCACAGGGAATATGGTAGTCGGAGTGGTGGGAACATTCTGCTTAGGTCACTAGGCTCAGCTGCACCCTTGGCTGGGACTGGTGGGGGCAGGACCCCAAGTGGAACAGGATAAGAAGGGCCCAAACCTGGCTAGGCCCCCTTCTCTTTCCCCACCTGTTGTCTGACGTACCCCAAAGCTCCCTAGACCTGTCAGACCCACTAGGACCAGGACAGACACACCCAGGCAAGTCACTGGGGCTGGGCTACCCATCGTCTGAGCAGTGGAGGGCGGGGCCAGAAAGGATACTCACCCCTCAGGTGTCCTTATGATATCTCAACCTGGAATTCTTTCTTCCTGGGAACCCAGCTCAACTTTCCCATCAGGTCAAGATGCAGCTGGCTTGTGATGTTGGAAACAAATACTTGGGCCATTGGGTTATACCTGCCCACTCCTCTCCTGACACCCAGTCCTCCAGCCACTGCCCCAGCCCTGATGCAGCTTTGCCAACAGATTCCGTCAGAAGCTGCCCATTTCCATCAGCGAACACTTGGGGATGGCTCTGTGTGGTGGGCACTGAGCTAGGCTCGGTAGAGGGACACAAAGATATTTGAAGCCCAGTCCTTGCCCTCAAGTGGCTGACTCGCTCATGGGGAAGAGGCTGGTAGCACTGGCTAGAATTCTACTACATGTAGAGCAGTTGACATGTATGAGCTCCTGCTTCCCCACCTGCCTCACCAGAGCCCCAGCAACTGAGCAACCCCTGGGGCTCCCTGCCTACACCCCACTCCAGTCACTGTGCTTTGTATGGGAATGGCACCTCTGTCTAGCCACAGCTGATTGGACCAGCGCTGCGTGCTAAGCCAGGGCAGCCACCCATTGGCTTGGTCCAGCTTCACAGGTGAGAGGAACCAATCAAATCCTCCCCCTTGGGAAAATGACCAGAAAATGGGGCAGGGGTCTTGAGGTCACTGGCATATTAAAGGGAATACACCCATGGGGCAGAGATGGAGGAGACATAGGCATGATAGAATGGGGCATTGTTGTGGAGGTCACTAGAGTCCCATGAGAGGAGACCTGGTAGCGCAGTGGTTAAGCGCTCGACTACTAACCGAAAGGTCGGCGGTTCAAACCCATCAGCTGCTCTGTGGGAGAAAGGCGTGGCAGTTGGCTTCCTTCAAGATTTACAGCCTTGGAAACCATATGAGGGCAGTTCTACTCTGTCCTGTAGGGTCGCTACAAGTTGGAATCGAGTCAATGGCAACGAGTTTGGTTTGATTTTTTACAGTTCCATGATACCCTGGATGAGCTGAATGGCATCTTCATTCTCTTTCTTGCTCTCTTCCTTACTTCCCTGGGTTTCTTGATAAAATCACTGTTCACTGAGGTCACCTGGGTGGGCTCCATTTTCCTTGCAGCTCCAAAGGGTTTGCCCAGAGAAGCCCTGGACACTAGTAATCCTCATTTTACAGATGATTTAACTGAGGCTCCAAGAGGCTAAATACCAATAGAATGTCAGTGAAAATGGCAGAGTAGGTAGCTCCAAGGAGACCTGTCCTTCCACAGAAACACCAAAAAACAAGCAAAA